AATTCAGGGACTACTTAAAGGACAATGGGATAGTATCACAATTAGCTCCTCCTGCTACACCACAACTTAACAGTGTTTCAGAGAGGAGGAATAAGACCTTATTGGATATAGTCCGATCGCTTCTCATACACAGAGTGACCCACATCCTTTTGGGGTCACACATTAGAGACTACGATTTACGTGCTGAATCGGATTCCAACCAAATCGGTTCCGAATACTCCATATGAACTTTGAACCGGAAAGGACACTTGAAGATTTGGGGTTGTTCAGCACACGTTAAAAGAACGAGTGCAAACATGTTGGAATCTAAGACCAGCCATTGCCTATTTGTAGGCTACCCAAAAGGCTCTGTAGGTTATCTATTCTATGACCCAAGTGAGCAGAAAGTGTTCTGTAGTCGAAATGCGCAATTCTTGTAAACGGATTGCATCCTGAACACCCATCGTCAGGAAATTGTTCTTGATGAGGAGAGCTCAGGAGCAGTGGGAGATGTACCACAAGTTCCAGGTAGTGACCAACCTAGAAGATCCACTCGGGTATCCAGGCCACCAGTCCGTTATGGTTATGACTTGGATAGTTACCTGGTGGAAACCTTGATTAGTGAGGAGGATCCCGTAACTTACGTGGAAGCTATGTTGGACATAGATTCCCAAAAGTGGGTGGAGGCCATGAAAGCAGAGATGGACTCAATGGAGACCAATGGAGTCTGGACTCTAGTATATCCGCCCTCTAGGGTAAAAGCAATCAGTTGCAAATGGATTTACAAGAGGAAGAAGGGCTCCGATGGTAGGGTTACGACCTTCAAAGCTCGTCTGGTGGCGAAAGGGTACACTCAGAAAGAGGGTATCGATTATGAGGAAACTTTTTCGCCTGTGGCCATGCTTAAATCCAGTAGGATCCTGCTAGCTGTAGCAGCATACCATGATTATGAGATTTGGCAAATGGATGTCAAAACTGCATTCCTGAATGGAGATCTTGCTGGAGATATCTATATGTAGCAGCCGCAAGGCTTCATTGCTGCAGGTCAGGAAAACATAGGGTTTCACCAAACCATGGCTGAATCCCAATTCAATTGAATAACTTCATGAATAAATTGTTGGACCAAATCTGTTAGTGTTCTTATACAGCCTTGCTTCTCTCTACATGAAGGTGGTTTGATCCGAATTGATTAGGATAGTTTGCTAGTTAGGAA